ATTGCTGATTATCTGAACAGACGAGTGATTCAATGGTTGAATCAAAATCAACAAATTCTCATTGATAATATTAACTGTTGGGGCTTAGCAATGGATAAACATGGATTCTTTTATGTTTCTGATCAGGGGAGGAATGCAGTGAGACGATGGAAAATGGGAGAATACAACAACGAAGGAATTATAGTGGCAGGTGGAAATGGAATAGGGAATCAACTCAATCAATTTAATGTACTTAGTTTTATCTTTGTTGATGAAGATCAATCTGTTTATGCATCAGATAGAGATAATCATCGTGTGATGAAATGGAGAAAAGATGCAAAAGAAGGAACAGTTGTGGCCGGAGGAAATGGTGAAGGAGACAATCTCAATCAATTGTCTAGACCTCATGGAGTAGTTGTTGATGATTTGGGTCAAATCTATGTGGTAGATACGTGGAATCATCGAGTAATGCGTTGGTGCGAAGGCAAAAAAGAAGGTGAAATTGTTGTTGGTGGAAATGGTGAAGGAAGTCTATCAAATCTATTATATCAACCCAGAGGTTTATCTTTTGATGATGAAGACAATCTTTATGTTTCTGATTATGGAAATCATCGAATTCAAAAATTTGAAGTTATTTTGTGAATGGATTTTTGATTTAAAAAAAAAAAAGAAGTTTTATTGACTAAATAATCAAGAAATAAAAGAAAAAATGAGGTTTTTTGTTGTAAATCAGTGAGAAAAATCGGTTAAAGCTTGAAAAAAAAGAAATATTTTACGAAAAACTGAGAATAAAAATTTGAAAACAGAAAAAAGAAAAACGAAAGAAAAATGAACAAGAGATTGAAATAAAATAAAGCGCTGATACTAAATGTTATGAAATGATCCAGAATTTAAATTTGATTTTTGTTAATAAAAGAGATTTGTTTTATTTTTCAAAGAAATTAAAATAAATATTTCATAATTTCTTTATCAAATTGAATTCATTTCAATTTCAAATGAAAAAATTCAACATTTTCTTTATTTTTCATTGATATTTGATGTAATAAAATCAATTTGAGGATGTGAGTATTAGTTTTATTACTATTTGATCTATATTGTCATTTCAACAGTAGCATTTCTCAAGAAAAACGTCTGATTAGAATAATTAAAGAAATAATCGACTAAATAATTCAAAATATTTTTATGAATAATGAAAAAAATGTTCATTATCAGATTTCAATTAATTGAAGTTGATAAACATTTAATACAAAGAGTGTGGGTGTGAATTTGAATGTTCCTTATTGATCTAGTAAGAACTCTCACATCCACACCCTCGGATAATTAAGAGAAAGAATAAATTTGTATAACATTCAATTTACTTTTAGATTTTACAGAATTTTCTTGGATTATTATTTGATAAAACAAATCAATTCTTCTTCAATAGTTTAATTCTTCATCATAATAAAATATTTGAATTTTATCGATTGAATTCTTACCGAACGGTAGAAAATGGCGTTGTTTTTAAGAAAGTATTAAATATTTTACAATGTCAGTCTCAGTATGATGTTTTCTTCTTCGTTCTCTTCTGCATGTCAATATAGAACAAAAGAAATGATTGATATACTATATTTACTTAGAACTATGTTAATATGATAATAAATATTCATCATGATGAACAATTTCAAAGGATAATAAAATGATAAGTTTAGTTGATTTTGTTAAATGTGAATGTGACATTACTAATTC